TTTTTTTTTTTTTTTTTTTGAAATACCCCCGCCGGTGTTAGTGCTGCTGATAAGAACAGACACCACTCACACCTGGGAGAGGCTCCGTCTATTGGTGGGGAGCGTCACCTGCTGGAAAACGGGTCCAGCGTCCCATATACAAAAAAGGGCGATCCCGAATTCTATCCAGTCAGAATAATAAAAGGGGTGACTTCAGTAGAGTCACAAAAACGAGTTATAATTGCAGTATGGGGCAATATACAGTTTGCAATTGCACTTCGGGCACCCTACCTGGCCAGAATGCTGGGTTGTATGCATTGCCTGAACTGCGATTGGAAACTGTATATTGGCCCATAGTGCAATTATAACTCATTTTTGTGACTCCCAGGTATTTTCCCCAAAATACAAATAAAAATCCATCCAGTCTGTAAGGTTTGGCTTGTTAAAGTTTGTTTCCCCTTTTTTTTCTTTTCTTTTTTTTTTTGGTGCGTGGGGGGGGGGGAGAGGGCGGGTCACTGGGTGGCAATGGGTTTTGTTGGTTGTCTGGGAAGAGCTGTAATTCCCACTATAAGAAGCAAAAATAATTAATAATAAATGATAAAAATAAAAATACCTGTAGGAGGGGAGAGGAGCTGTACTTCCCTTTATGGTTTTCCCTCTAAAAAGAATCTCGCCCTAATTCCAGTTAAGATACGTTCACGGAAGTGGCAGAGTGGGTATGCCTCTCAGTAGGCTCTTAGAATCCCCATGCAGTATTTCGAAGAAATGGGTTTAAATATTAAAATAAGAAAAGTTGTTCCAGAGATCTACTCAGTTGTTATTAAATAAAGGCCCCCCCTCTAAACCCTTTGGTAAAAGCCCCGCTAATTAAATCTTAGAGAAAACTGAAAAAAGGCGCTCAAATCTGGGAGTGTTGCTATTTTTTAAGGCAAAAGAGCCCACCCATATTTAGAAGCCCCGTATAAAAAATGAAAGCCCCTCAAACCCAAGAAATTAGTACGAATGGGGCAATTTTTTAAGGCAACACCCCCTTCCATATATTTAGGAGCCCATTAAAAAGAAAGGGCCTTTTAGGCTAAGAAATTAGGACGAATGTGGCAATTTTTTAAGGCATAAAAGCCCCCCCAATGTAAAAGCCCCTTACGGGCTATACGTCCACCTGTTTCTGGGTTTTGAAATTTTATTTCTCTTTCCCTTTTTTAAACAAATATCAATTTTTTTGAATTAGTACTAACTCTTGTGTCCAATTGAGAAAGATGTTGCAGGAAAGGCTACCAGCCGGGCTGCCCGGGTGACCTTCTTTGCCCGGGCGGCCCAGCCGTGCAAGGGCCAAAGTAGGTCCCAGCAAAAAAAACAAAAAAAACAAAATCGAAAAAAAAAATCTGAAAAAAAAAACTATGTTATGCCGAAAAATAAACTGAACAACATTTGCACCAGGGTCACATCGAAATTCTTTACCAAATAAAAAATGAAAAATAAAGTAATATATATCATCAAACATATATATATCTGTTTGTGACGATATATATATTGTCACATGATATCAGAGCGCCAAAGTGAAAAAACAGAAAGAAAACAAGGGAAAAAAAAGAAAAAAAAAAAATTAATTCGTTTTTAATCTTCTTCCTTACAACTCCCCCTGTTCAGAACCTCTTGCGTACAAGGCCGCCCACGTGGATGTAGGTTGAGCGGCGGCTGCCCCCACCCCCGTGTGTCATATCGACCCACTTGCACACAGCCAAAAGGCAAAGAGGCAAAGAAGAGAGGAAGGGAACAGCCAAATAAAACAGAACACGGGGCAACAAAACAGATCCCAGATGACAAGTCCCACATGCAAGCACCGCCCCTCCGTCACAGGCCAAACAACGGGACAAGACCAACCAGGATGTCAAAACCTTGTCTGCAAAGAAATCAAGAAAAGTACCAAAAAGAACCCATCCCGGATGACGATTCCCACGTACAAGCACCGCCCCGCGCTCAAAGGGCCGAACAACGGGAAACAACCAACCAGGATACCAAGACAATAAAACCCCCCCCGGATGACTGGTCCCACATGAAGCACCGCTACCTGCAGCAACATAGACCGAATAACGGGACGAAACCAACCGGGATGCAGCAGACAAGGTTACCAAAACAAATTGTACAATATCCATAGTTAAAAAAACGGAACCATACAGTAGGTCCGCAAAACGAACTACCCCAGAAGAGGGGAAAAGCAACACGAAAAAATGCGGGATGATAGGACGAGGATTCAGGCTATTTCCAACGTAAATGAATTCTTGGATGCACTGACAAAAAAATCAAGGAAATATTTTCTACCATAACCAAAAAAGAGCCTGCTAGTACAGGCCCGACGCTCGCCGCATCATCTACAAAAGCAAGGAGCTAGCAACGTCGGAGTATATATATATATCATCAAACATATATATATCGTCAAACATATATATATATATATGAGTCGGTGAAACTCCGACGAAACAGTTTGTCACAGCCCCTCGTTTGTTGTCCTCTTCTCTCTCTCTGCCTACGGTTT